CAACAAACAAAAGGCGCACAAGCAGAACGGCGAGCCTCGCCCAAGGAGATGGGCTCGCAGGCTGTCAGACATTGCGCCTTTCAGGGGTTTAGGGTGTGGGGTTTAGGGTTAGGGTTTGGGGTAAAGTTTAGGGTTTGGGGTTTGGGGTTAGGGTTTGGGGTTTGGGGTTTGGGGGTTGGGGTTTAGGGTTTGGGGTTTACGGTTTGGGGTTTCGCGTTTAGGGTTCAGGGTTTGTCTACCGAACGCCCTAGGCTCGACGTCGCAACCTGAAAGGGAGCTTCCCCCAAGACTTGACAGGGAAGCCTTGGGATGCCCCCTCTTGTACAAACAGTCCCTAATGGGATGATAATGGGCTTAAGGTTTTGGGTTTAGGGTTTAGGGATTAGGGTTTAGGGTTGAGGGTTTAGGGTACTATACTCCCGTAAGGACTGTTCGTAGAAGGGGAACATCCCAATTAAAACCCCTGAAGCCTTCTAAGTGGGTTTAGGGTTTTGGGGTTCTGGGTTTAAGGTTTTTGCTTCTTCAAATTTTTTGGTGTGGTTGGGGGGGGGGGGGGGTTGATTCGATGTTAAGTTAACCATCCCCAAACCCCAAAACCCTAACCCCTCCTGGCCCTCCTCACCCCCCCCCCCCCCCCCACCAGAGCATCCCGCAGAAGGTCCCACACAGTATCCTTGAAGTGGGCGAAGCATCCTTAGTAGCCTGTCCGAAAATGGCACCCTAAACACTAAACCCTAAACCCTAAACCCTAAACCCTAAACCGTATACCCCGAAGCACTCAACCCTACGCCCATGGCTGCTGACTGTCGTAAGGCCGTTAGGGGCAAGGCACGTACCATCCCCACACCCCTTGAACCCTCAAAAACCCTAAGCCTTCAACCCTGGGACCCTCAAGCCCAACCCCGTAAACCCCTTTGGGTTTAGGGTTTAGGAGTTAGGGTTTAGGGTTTAACCTAAGTAGCCCAGGAGCCATACCATAACCAAGGGTACCTTGTTTTGGTTGGTTGCTTTACCAGGGAACCTTCGGCCAAGAAGGGAAATGGGTACCACGGCACTCGGCTACCCTAAACTCTAAACCTATACTACTGAACTTGGAACCCTAGAAAAAAATATGTTAGCTGTCTCTTCGCAATTAAAATCCAAAAACTAGAACACTATTTATTCCCAAGTATCCCTAAACCCTAAACCCTAAACCCTAAACCCTAAACCCTAACCCTAAACCCTAAACCCTAAACCCTAAACTTAAAACCCTAGACCCGAAGTCCGGCCTTTGGCGTCATGACCGCCGACAGCCGCGTACTTCGGTCCTGCAATCAACTACGACCCTGCAGCCGAAGGCTTAGGGTTCATTTGCGGGTTTAGGGTTTAGGGTTTAGGGTTTAGGGTTTAGGGTTTAGGGTTTAGGCTTTAGGGTTGAGGGTTTAGGGTTTAGGGTTTAGGTTAAGATTTGGGGTCTCGGGGTTTAGGGTTGTGGGTTCAGGGTTAGGGTTTACCAGGGTGCATTTCAGATTTAGGTTAGGGTTTAGGGCTTTCGGGTTTCGGGTTTAGGGTTAGGGTTTCGGGCTTCGGGTTTGGGGTTTAGGGATTTGGGCTTCGGCAAATTCAAGGGCTTGATGCTGGCACTTTTCAATTCGGTGGGGGGGGGAGGTTGCGCCGTAACACCCAGCCAGGGACAACTGCGCCAGACCATGTCGGCATGAAAACCATTAAAACCCTTCGCCTCACAAGCAAGACTTCTGATCTGCACCAGACCCAGATTTTGAATCTTAGAAACCCTAAACCCTAAACCCTAAACCCTAAACCCTAAACCCTAAACCCTAAACCCTAAACCCTAAACCCTAAACCCTAAACCCTAAACCCTAACTGAGCTGTTCGTAAAAAAAGCGGGCCAATCGCAATCCGTAATCCTGCCTATCTTCTCCGTGGGATCAATCCGCTCCAATCCGTTACCGCGGCCAAATCCGTAATCCGCTCGAATCCGTTTTCCTGGTGGCTGGGCTGGGTTGGGCTGTGCTGTGCTGGCTGAGCTCGGCTGGGCTGGACTACCCTGGGCTGGGCAGATGCTGCACAGCCGTTCTGACACGTGGGCACTCCAAGATACCGTGGGGTTTGGTCACCGTGCAACTTTGGGCACGCAAGAACGTGTCTGAAATTTTGAAGCTGGGTGGGCGGTGTCCACAATTTTCACACTATCGGCACGTGGGGCAGAAAAGACCAGCTTAATTCTGGGAGAGATTTCTGCTCAGCAAGGTACATGCCTAAGCCTCCCCACTGAGGCTTCTTCGGCATTTCCGGCCCTGCTTGTGCCATGGCCCCAAGTTCAACGACTGAGGCTGCAAGCTCTACTGCCTGAGCCGCCTAGAAATGAACGACTGCAACGGGTGTCTTAGTGTGGATTTATGGGACTTCGTGGCCTTCGTCCACTGTTCTCACACTAACATATGGGGGGATCCTGGGCGTGGATGTATGGTGACCCTGAGCCCTAGCGACTGGAGATTCCTCACACTGTGCTGAAGCCGTTTCGGAGGTTTCCGGACCTGCAAACGCAATTGGTGCAGGGACCTTTTGTGACCTGCATGACCTTCCAAAAGCCCCAGGTGCTGCAGGGTTGTCCAAAGAGTGCAGAACAAGGCCTTTTCGAAGTCCCCATCAATAACGTCAGAGCTGGACAATCTGGGAAAAAACGCGACCAGGACCCGGGCCAAGCCCAAAATGGGAGCTACAAGCCTGAATCTGAATAACTAGCTGATTTGCCTTACGAGAGGCACAGACCGAGTGGCCTAATGGTCAAGCGATTGAGCTTGTGACCCGAGGCCCCGGGCTCGAACCCCGGAGGGAACATTTTCAGGATGGGCCTTGAAAACGCATTTAAAGGCCTTCAATTTTCCAAGGCTTGCAGAAGGCTTGAAAAAGCCTTCGCAAGAAGATTCGGAAGGCTCGGAAGGCTTGCAGAAGGCTTGAAGAGGCTCGAAAAAGCCTTGTTTCGGGACCTGCAAACCGCAATTGGACAGTGCTTTATGACGAAATCCCTAACACGGGGGGGGGGGGGGGTGCCTTTTGGGCCCTTCTCATCAACTCTCGCACTCAAATAAGGGTGTCTTAGTGTGGATTTTTGGGACTTCCTGGCCTTCGGCCACGATTCTCACACTAACATGGGGGTGGATTTATGGTGACCTTAATAATGCTGAAGTACAATGGGCTGGGTGGGCAGTGTGTTTGGGACTGCCAAAATTAGTGAGGAAATTGCTTGGGCCTCCGACCTCGACCACCGAAATCCATACTAGTTACCATATGCTGCCTACCTGCACCAGGCTATGGCCCGAAACAGTGTGAGTTTTTGAGAGAACCCGACATTGTCCGCCAAAATCTACACTATCCCTGGCGACGCCGTGCCCTTCGAGAGTTGAAGATTATTGGCTGGGATGGGGGGGAGGGGGCGGGAAATAATCATGGGAACACGGGCCCCATTCGCGAACCCGGTCAATCCGTAATCCGTCTTATCCGTGAACGCGTGATCCCCAATCCCCCTAATCATTGGGGATTGCTTGTGAACAGGTCAGCCTAAACCCTAAACCCTAAACCCTAGCAAGGCCGGTCCTGACACTGTGGGGTTGCCCTCCACCCCCCCCCCCCCCGGTCTCTCCCTCCAAACCCCCCCGCACTATATCAGGGCCACGCCAAAGCCAAGCCTTCTTGCGCACATGTAGGGGATAGGATTGTGGGGACCTTTGGGGATAGAGACCCTCTGACTAAGGTCCCTGTTTAAGAGAGCCAGAAGAGGGTTCACCCTGTACAGGGTCCCCCTTATCCTACCTAGGAGCATGGTTGCTGCAGCACAGCGGGTTTTTGGAGGGTTTGGGCAGGACAAGGGCGTCTGCGCCACCTGCAACCCGAATACATATCTGAGGACCCTTCCTGGCTTTGAGCGCCGTTGGCTTTCCCGAGGGCCCAACAAAAGCTCAATCCTGAACCTCAAACCTGAAACCTAAGCCCGAAACACCAAACCCTAAACCCTAAACCCTAAACTCTTAACCCTAACCCTAAACCCTAAACCCTAAGCCCTAAACCCTAAACCCTAGACCCTAAACCCTAAACCCTAGCGCTTAGGACGCGAGCCTACCAGTTTTGCTTGCAGTCCCCCATGGTTCAGGCGTTTAGGTGCGTGAGGACCCGGGGATTTGAAGGTTAAGCATACCCCTCCGCTATTGCGCTTAGGGGGTTTTGGGTATTTAGGGTTTCGGGCTTAGGGTTTAGGATTCGAATCCCAACTTTTGGGGATTTTGGGCGAGTCTTGCGGAGCATCCTCGACGAAATCGATGTCGCGGCTCGTCACGATTCCCAGAAACCTCTCCGGTTTAGTGCTCCGGAACTTCAGAACTTCCGGATTTAGGGTGAGCCTAAACCCTAAACCCTGAACCCTGAATATGGGTTGTAGGGGCTTTCAAGTGCGGTTTAGGGTTTAGGGCTAAGGAGGTCCAGGGTTTGGGAACTTGGGGGGCCTGAGTGTGGAGAGCTAACATCCTACACCTGAATCACCGAAGCCCCAAAGCTTGCTATTTGGGGGGGTTTAGGGTTTAGGGTTTAGGGTCTAGGGTTTAGGGTTTAGGGGTTAAGGGCTATGCGAGTCTGGCCACTGCAGGTCTCTTAAAGCGTCTCAAGCTGCTCTGGCCCTAAGCCCTAAATCCTAAAGCCTAAACCCTTAACCCTAAATCCTAAACCCTAAACCCCAGGGTGTTGGGGCCCGCTCCTCAGAAGCTAGGGAGGGGAGGGGGGGGGGGGGGGGGGCGTGCTGGTTTGACCATTTCAGTCACTGATTGGGGTCTTCCCTGGCGATGATGTTCTTCTGTTTGCAGCGGCTGTTGCTGAAGCTTCAGGGTCTAGTGATGCCTACCTACTGCTCGTGAGCAGAAAACTGAGGGCTTTGGGTTTAGGGTTTAGGGTTTAGGGTTTAGGGTTTAGGGTTTAGGGTTTAGGGTTTAGGGTTTAGGGTTTAGGGTTTAGGGGTACAAGGGTTTGGAGCCTTAAACCGCAGCGAATGGGTCCCCGCCTGTTCCCCATCATTCCCATGTCCGTGATGCAGACGGTGGAGGCATCGTGCTTTTGCCTGGAGCAGCAAGGGCTTAGGGTTTGGGGGTTAGGGTTCAGGGTTCAGGGTTCAGGGTTTAGGGTTCAGGGTTCAGGGTTTAGGGTTTAGGGTTTAGGGTTTAGCGTTTAGGGTTTAGCGTTTAGGGAGGATCCTGACCCGAAGCCCCATAGCCCACAGCGTGCTCTTCCCGTTGTGCTTGCTGCCCTGGATCTAAGGATAGACCGATTACTGCTAATTGCTTAAGAACCCCGAAAAAATATTCTTCCTTATTAAGTGTCATATGGGATGATGAGTTGTTATTCTCTTGGGGCTCTTAAGCAAATAGTGGATTAAGCCCTTAACCCTGAACCTAAACTTGGAGGTTCATGGGTAGCTACAAGGAGGGGATTAGCTAACCACGGCAACTATATTTGTGAGTCTATTTAGGGCACAATACCATTTAACACCTAACACTATCTAGTTTAAGGCCTTTATGCTTTTGGGCTCTCGTGGATATCTTCGAGCGCGACGGTACGAGGAAGGTGCTTTCGTATCGGGACGCAGCCTGATAAGCCCAAACCCGAAACCCCAAACACCAGGCCCTAAACCCTTGCAAGCTCTAAACCCCAAACCCTAAAGAGTATCAAGGAACATGTTCCAGCCTCAAACGCTGGTCTTACATGACATCAACCCTGGTTTGTTGCGCGCATGGCTTAGAGATCTTCACCAGGGCCATGAGCCCAGAGCTTTCATGGTTCAGGGTCTGAGGTGTAGGGCTTGGGGTTTCTTAAACCAGTACGGGAAGACAAGTTTGGTCTTCGCGATCGCAATCAGGGATGTCGCTAACTATGATCTTCATAACGCCACATCCCTAAACCCTAAACCCTAAACCCTAATGAAATGTCGCAGGGGCTTCCTAGGAAGACATGCTGGTGAGATCGTGGGAAAAACATTGGGCTTCGGGTTTTTTGGTCTAAGGCTTGCGGTGCGAAAGCCCGTTTATGGAAATGAGGCAGGGGTTATAGGTGTAGGGTTTAGGGTTTAGGGTTTAGGGCTTATAGTCCTTGTATCCCCAAAAAAGGACACCCGATATATACACTCACCAATACTTTAAAAAGGGAACCTTACATACACTCCCCTAAACCCTAAACCCTAAACCCTAAACCCTAAACCCTATACCCTAAACCCTAAACCCCTTTATGGAAATCCTGTCCGATATTGGGCCTGATGTTGTCCAGGTCTGCAACGGTGTGTGTCTGGGAAAGCACCTTGGGTGATGGAGGGGCCATAATAAGCGGTTTAGGGTTTAGGGTTTAGGGTTTAGGGTTTAGGGTTTAGGGTTTAGGAATAATTTGAATTGGGCTTTGGGGGATTGTTGTAGTATAAATGATAAAGGGACCCTAAGGGAATACCATTTGTAATCCTCCGAACCCGGTAGTACAGGGTTCGAAACCTTATTGACACACGAACAAATAGGTTTGTTCGATAATGGGGGGGACAGGTGCTGGGATCAGGGTATGCTTCGTGAGTGCGTTTGGGGGTCTGCTTCGGTGTGTGTTTCGCGACATCATGGGCTACGTTAGATGCAGTTTTGAGAGTCTGTTTCGCGGGTATGTCCCTAGGCGTGGTCTTTCGTGTCCCCATCCATTATCTCTCACTGTTTGGGGACTGCGATGGCATAGTGGGCTTATGTGATGGACAGAAACCATACGAATGCAAAAACTGCTACTCAACAAAATCATTACATAATCATACATCATGGTATTTTGTAAAAAAACTCCTTGTCTGATAACATAATCATATAGTTAAAAAAATCGTAGCGTGTGTATATATACATATATATATATATATTAACCCCTAAACCCTAAACCCTAAACCCTAAACCCTAAACCCTAAACCCTAAACCCTAAACCCTAAACCCTAAACCCTAAACCCGACGTTGAACAGACCTGAATAACGGGTGCGTGGCTCTCTTGGCAGGCCTCGTGAAGACGGAAGACTGAGACCCTTGCAAATGGGTCCATGATGAACCCATTCTCCCACTTTTTCACGAGGTCGACCTGTCGACCGGTCTTTAGGGGGGCTTAGGGTTTAGGGTTTAGGGTTTAGGGTTTAGGGTTTAGGGTTTAGGGTTTAGCTCTAAACCCGAACCCCCAAAGCCAGAAATCCCGGAATCATCTGAGCACTCTCTCCCTTAGAATGCCCGGTAAGACCCCACACTTACCTGAACCCGAAACCGCCTAAACCCGAATCCCCAAAACCGTACGCGATTTAGGGTTTAGGGTTCAGGGTTCAGGGTTCAGGGGTCAGGGTCCCTAAAATTGAGCCTCGGTTGAACGCTCTTCCCCCGCCACAAATCAAACTGTTTACTAGCCCTCACCCTACCTACTCAACCGACTCCCTCCCCTCGCCCTCCTCCCCCAAACCCTCCACCCCCTTTCAAAAAAAGGGCAAGCAAGCAAACAAGAAAAAAAAAACAAACGAACGAACAAACGAACAAACGAACCAACAAAAACAAACAACACACACACACACACCCCACCCACCCACCCACCCACCCATGCACCCACCCACCCACGCACGCACGCATGCACGCAGGCACGCACGCGTACAGGAGAAAGCATCAAAACCCAGCTCCAGGGCATGGGCCTGTTTCGCCTGCTCAGCAGGGGAGCAGTTGCAGTGGATGACACCTTGGGACAGCGGAGAGTTACCGTACTTGGAGGTTCATGGGTAGTTATAAGTAGTATGATAAGTAGTATTATAAGTAGTATTCTGAGTAGTATTATAAGTGGTATTATATGTAATATTTTCAGCATGGTAACTATACCTTTAACCCTGTTTGGGTTACCTTAACCGTGTTCATAACTACCCATGAAACTCCAAGTGCCCAAAAGACATGGCTCAAAGCTGCAGGTGCCAGGTTGAGGGTTTAGGCTTTAGGGTTTTTAGGGCATATAGGGTTTAGGGGTTTATAGGGTTTAGGGCTTAGGGTTTATGGAGCGTTTGGGGCTCACGAAGCGTGCAAGTATCATCAGCTCGACTTGATCTAAACTGCAGGGGCGCTTCATGGTGTAGGGTTTAATTAGGGTTTAGAGCTTAGGGCTTTGGGGGCCTATACAAGGTCCCCCGGTGACTCGGATTCAGCCACTGCTTGAAGGGGTTGCCTATAACCTTACACCCTAATCCCTAAACCTTAAACCTTAACCCCCAAACCCTAAACCCTAAACCCTTCTGTTTGGGCGGGGCGGGGGGTGGGGGGGGGGGAACCCACCCTCTGCACCCTCCCTCCTTCTTCTCGGAGGCCGGGACCTAGAAAATCATAAGCCCAGTGGTGTCTTGGATTTCACTTGCCAGGAACCCTAAACCCTCAATCCTAAACCCTAAACCCTAACCCTAAACCAAGCCAGGCTCTTGGGAAATTTTGGTAGGGAGCCTCAGGAAGTAGTGGGGAGTAATGGGGAAAAACCCTAAACCCTAAACCCTCCTTGAAACCCCCTCCCTTAAGAACCCTCAGCACGTGAAAGAGGGCACAGCATGGGGGTGAAAACCTCCCTCTTTCCCTCCTTACCCCCCCAAAACGCGGGGGGGGGGGGGGGGGGGGGGGAGGGGGTACCCCGGCGCTTTTGGAGGAACCCACCCACACCGCGTAAACTCATGGACCATAGGCCGTTTTGGCACAGGGCATAGGGGCTCTTCCCCCCCCACCCCCACCCCCCCCCACCCCACCCCCCCCCCACCCCCCCCCCCCCCCCCCCCCCCACCCCCCCAACAGGAACCGTAAACAAAATCACCAAACCCCAAACCTTAAACTTGTTCTCCTGCGGGGTCGGCGGCTTGAGCCGGAGGCTCTTAAATTTAGGGTTTTGGGTTTAGGGTTTAGGGTTTATAGGGTTTAGGGCCTAGGGTGTTCGGCGTCTGCACTGCTGGAAGCACACGCTCACGTAGGTAAGGGCGCGGCCGATCCCGCCCATGAGGGCACACGCTATCGCCATGCGGGCCTGCTAAAGCCGACATGGGGTTGGGGTTTAGGACTTCGGGTTTGGGTTCCGGGAGGACCGCGATACACCCCCAAAGCCAAATACCGACGCTCGCAAACAGTTGGCTTCTGCAAGTGCAGCCGCCGCGATTCTCCCAGCGATGCGAAAACGCTTGTCTCCGCAACTACCCCCTGGCGTGGCGAGCACTTCCCGAGCGCGTTAGCCACGAACTCTTCTGACGCGCATGCGGGGAACATATGGCATAAGCTTGGGATCTCCATGACACAGAGAACCCTTTTGGGGTTAAGGTTTAGACAGTTTAGGGATTTCGGCTAAAGCTTTACTAGGGTTTGAGGGGTTTTAGGAATCAGGGATCTCACCTTCCGGATTTCCGGGCCCTAGGGTTGGGAGCCTCTGCCAGGCCTTGGGGTTTGGGGTCTGGGGTTTGGGGTCTGGGGTTTGGGGTTTGGGGTTTAGGGTTTAGGGTTTAGGGTTTAGGGTTTGGGGTTTAGGGTTTAGGGTTTAGGGTTTGGGGTTTGGGATTTTCGGTTTGTTGGAGGTACTGGCAGTTGGCACTGATGGCCTCCGTCACGGTGTCCATCGGGGCTGCTACCAGCGGCGCATTCAGCGTCACGTTCTTCGACAGCTGGGTCCCAAGCTTCACCTGCCATGAAGGGTTTAGGGTTTAGTGTTCAGGGTTTAGGGTTTAGGGTTTAGGGTTTAGGGTTTAGGGTTTAGGGTTTAGGGTTTAGGGTTTAGGGTTTAGGGTTTAGGGTTTAGGGCCTACTTGGAGGTTCATGGGTAGGTTCTAAGTAGGGCTATAAGTAGGGTAACTATACCTATGACCTTATTTAGGGTACCTCCAACCCTACTTCTAAGTACCCATGAACCTCCAAGCAGGGTTTGCACCCCGGATCCTGCATAGCGATTTGTCAGTCCTCGACCCTAAACAGAGCCCAGACCCTATTATAAGCTCTAATTGCAGAGCCTAAAACTATAAACCCGAAGTCCCTCAAATGTACAGAGACGAAACCCTAAAGCCTACTTGGAGGTTCATGGGTAGGTGATAGGTATGGTTATAAGTATGGTAACTATGCTTCTAACCCTACTTAGGGTACATATAGCCCTACTTCTAATAAGTACCGCCCCCCCCCCCCCCCCCCCCCACCACCAAAAAAAAAAAAAAAAAACCGCCTCCGCTTCGGCACTGGCAGGTGCGGGCAGCGCCAACAGGTCCTCCAGGCCGTACCTGTGCGAATGCGACTGGCTCTGGGCTTCCCAGAGTAGAACTGTGCTGGGCTTAGTGAAGTTAGGGTTTAGGGTTTAGGGTTTAGGGTTTAGGGTTTAGGGCTTAGGGTTTAGGGTTTAGGGTTTAGGGTTTAGGGTTTAGGGTTTGGGGTTTAGGGTTTAGGGTTTTTAGGGTTTAGGGGGTTAGGGGTTTAGGGGTAGAAAGAGGCCTTCCACCCTAAGCCCGATCCCGGCAGACTTCAGAAAACATGAGGTGTATGAGGTTGCCTAGCCCCAAGAGTAGCCTAGGAACAAGAAAGGGTGCTCTTTTGCTTTACAGGGGCTGAGAAGGGAACCTAGACCCTAAAAGGGAATAAGGGCCTACTCGGGGTCCTAAAGTTTACGCGGTAGGGTTCAGAGTCTCAGAGTTTAGAGCCAGAGAGGAGGGTTGGGCCTTTTTGGTTCTAGGGATTCCTATTTTAGGGTCATAGGGTTCAGGGTTTCGGGGCTTAGGGGTTTAGGGTTTAGGGCTGTTGAGTTTAGCGTTTCAGGGTTCTGGCTCTAGGGTTTTTGGGGTTTGGGGCTTGAACTGGCGGTTTTCGGCTGTCTAGAGTTGCTGGGACTACTAGCATCCCTAAACCCTAAACCCTAAACCCTAAACCCTAAACCCTAAACCCTAAACCCTAAACCCTAAACCCTAAACCCTAAACCCTAAACCCTAAACCCTAAACCCTAAAACTGAAGGAGGGCATGCAGGGCTGGAATGGCGCGAGCCCCCGTCAAGGGCGCGGCTGTGAAACGATCACTTCCCCGACCTAGGTCCGCTTATAAACCCTAAACCCTAAACCCTAAACCCTAAACCCTAAACCCTAAACCCTTAACCCTAAACCCTTAATTACTCCAACCCCCCAACCCTCTCCATGGGCAAGGGTTCAGGGTCGGGCTTACATCCCATAGGGTTTGGGGCCTGCCCCTGAAACAGCGAAAGATGCTTCGGCATGTTTCTTCGTCCTCTCCGAGAAGCTACGAGGTATTGCGGGCTCACACGCCTCAGACTGTCTGTTGGGTGGCCTCGCGCCAATAGCCGGACGGCAGCAGGCATCATTCATCTGCCGCAAGTCTGCTTCACAAGGAATCTCAGAGCGACCGGAAGTGTGGTTGCCTAAACTTCGTAATAGCCCTCAAGCCATTGAACCCTCAAGCCCTAAACCCCAAGCCCCGAACCTTAAACCCTAAACCCAAACCGCAAAAAAGTAGACCTAAACCCTAAACCATAAACCCCGAACCCTAAACCGTACAAAAATGGGCCAACAAGGAAGTCGAGAACCCTCCAGATCTCGAAACTCCCTTGCGAGCAGGTGTCCCGCTTTCAGGCACGCGCACTTGCCAGGCGTGTGCTTCCACAGTCGCAGCGCACGCTGAATCTCATATCTACAACGAAGAGGAGGCAGACTGCCAGCGGGCCAGAGGAAGGGTTCAGGGCAGCTAAGGGTTTAGGGTGCGGGATTTGGGGTTTGTGGTTTGAGGTTTAAGGTTTCGGGGATCCTTTGCAAAGAGCCCTGCCTAAAAAAATCGTTGAAGCTGGCCTATCCCCAGGGGCTCTGGCTGCCACGGCAGCTGAATCAGAAGGACTACATGTCTCGACGCGCAGAGCCTGACAGCTGCAAAGACGGAATGTTTAGGGTTTAGGGTTTAGGGATTAGGGTTTTTTTGTTGGAGGTTCATGGGTAGTTCTTACAAGTAGGGACAGAAGTATGGCAACCATACTATTAACCCGATTTAGGGTACCTATAACCCTACCTCTAGCTACCCATGAACCTCCAAGTTGGGTTAAAGGGTTCAGGGTTCAGGGTTCAGGGTTTAGGGCTTAGGGTTTAGGGTTTAGCGTTTAGGGTTTAGGGTTTAGGGTTTAGGGTTTAGGGTTTAGGGTTTAGGGTTTAGGGTTTAGGGTTTAGGGTTTAGGGTTTAGGGTTTAGGGTTTAGGGTTTAGGGTTTAGGGCATCGGAGCCGGAAGAGGTGTGCAGCTGTCAGAGACCAGGCCACGTCCAGATTTAGCCAGCTTTTGTCGCACACCTAGGGCTACTACTACCTGAAAAAGCCAAAGGTTTAGGGTTTAGGGTTTAGGGTTTAGGGTTTAGGGTTTAGGGTTTAGGGTTTAGGGTTTAGGGTTTAGGGTTTAGGGTTTAGGGTTTAGGGTTTAGGGTTTAGGGTTTAGGGCATAGGGTTTAGGGTTTAGAAGTTTTTGGGTTTCGGGTTTAGGGTTTGTTACTCCAACCCTTACGAATGGGGTCGAACACGGAACCCGACAACTTCTTTGGAGAAGTATCCAAATCACGAATATCCTTTAGGGTTTAGCGTTTAGGGTTTAGGGTTTTGGGTTTAGGGTCTTTTCCAAATCACGAACTTCAATGGAAACCAACAATTAAGTTCCTTAGCAAATGCTGCAGGTAAACCACCTAAACCTCTAAACCCTAGAAACCTCGAACAACCTCAACCCCCTGAACCCCTAAACCCCTAAACCCTGAACAACCTAAACCCGAAACCCTAAAACCCTAAACCCTAAACCCCCCCCTTTGTTACTGAGTGGCAAAGGGCTGTTGGAGCCCTGAGGTTAGGCCCAATCCCTCGACCCTAAACCCTGTTGTTTACCCCAAACCCTGATCCCCTAACCCCCTAAACTCCTAATCCCCTAAACCCTGAACCCTAAACCCTAAACCCCTAAACTAAGAGGGTTTGGGTTGTTCCGGGTTCCGAGGTGTCCGGCTTAGGGGGCTTGAGTCTGTGGGTGTTTAGGCCTTGCGCTGATGGTTTGGGGCTTGAGGCTGAGGCCCAAAGGCATTCGGGTTTAGGGTTTAGGGTTTAGGGTTTAGGGTTTAGGGTTTAGGGTTTAGGGTTTAGGGTTTAGGGCTCCTCTGTCCGAAGATTTCTGATGGCCCCAGTGATGGTTGCGACAACGGCTGGAATGAGTTGCGCACCTTGCGGTCCTCCACACGGATACCTAAGCTTCGCCGGCTGGACCGAAACCCGAAACCCTAAACCCTAAACCCTAAACCCTAAACCCTAAACCCTAAACCCTAAACCCTAAACCCTAAACCCTAAACCCTACAAGAAACGTCGAACTGAGGGGCCCCTACTTCAGAAACCTCTGGCAAAGATACGCGAATCATACTGAAGGACCAAGTGGCCCTAGGGGCCTGTTGCTTCAAGATGCTACTTATGGGCCTTATGGGGTTTAGGGTTTAGGGTTTAGGGTTTAGGGTTTGTTTAGGGTTTAAGGTTCCTCGGCTTCAAGGTTCTAGGGTTTAGGTTTTTAGGGCTTGTAGGGTTCGGGTTTTGGGTTTAGGGCTATAAGGTTTTGGAGGAAGAAGGTACCACTAAGTATACTCATATGCATGTTCGGCTTGCTGCCTCCTGTCGAACGACCGCAAGATACAGCACAAAGAGTTATATAGAGTTGTTTTGAAGGCTCGCGGGCAATGATCGGACAAGAAAGGCAACCCAGACAGGAAACCTCGAGAAAAGGGTGCTTCTAATAAACCTCCCAAGCCCTAAACCCTAAACCCTAAACCCTAAACCCTAAACCCTAAACCCTAAACCCTAAACACCCTCCGTACATTTGCCCATGAACCTTCAAATGCAGGCCCAAGGCCCAGCCTCGAGCTTACGAGGATGCAGAGAGGAGTCCGTTAAAGTCTGGGGCTTAGGGTTTAGGGTTTAGGGTTTAGGGTTTAGGGCTTAGGGTTTAGGAGTTTTGGGTTTCGGGTTTAGGGTTTTTGGGGCGGTTTCGGGGTTGGGGCTGAGAGGACTGTGGGCTACAAGGGGACGCTGCTAAGGGTAAAGGGTAAAGGGTTTGGTTTTTCTTGTCTTTTTTTGGGGGGGGGGGGGGGGGGGGGGGGGGGGAGTTTTTTTTTGAATCTCGGCTAAACCCCAGTGGACCTTGAACAGCAGGGGATTCGGGCTAAGAGGCGACAGGGGTCTGACGGATGTGAAGGCTAAAGGGGCTTAGGGTTTTAACGGAGAGGGGGGGGGGAGGGTTCAGCTTCGGGATATGGAACTCGATTGTCTGAAGCAGTAAGCGGACTTCAACAGCTCACCCACGAGAAAATTGGGGGCGTTCTGAACAAAGGTCCCCTGAAAGGTAGAATTTCTGTGTGAGCTAGAATGCCTGATAGGACCTCTTCCATGCCAGAGTTGATTAAACAGGGTACTAAAAAAACAGACCTAGGGTTTAGGGTTTAGGGTTTAGGGTTTAGGGTTTAGGGTTTAGGGTTTAGGGTTTAGGGTTTGGGGTTTAGGGTTTAGGGTTTAGGGTTTAGGGTTTAGGGTTTAGGGTTTAGGGTTTAGGGTTTAGGGTTTAGGGTTTAGGGTTTAGGGTTTAGGGTTTAGGACTGTAGCTTCGAACGCCCCACATTCCTGGGCGAGAACAGGCGTTCTCGGATGGCGCAGTCCACAAACCGCATCAAGAGGAGCTGGAGGGTCGACCAAAGTCATGGGCCCTAATTCCCCGGAACCGAAGCTGTAAGGTCTAGGGTTTAGGGTTTAGGGTGTAGGGTTTAGGGTTTAGGGCTTAGGGCTTAGGGCTTACGGCTTAGGGCTGAGGGTTTTGGTTGGGGCTTAGGGTTTAGGGTTTAGGACTTAGGGTTTAATAGCCGCCCCATATGGCCCACTCTCAAGGTCCACCCCATCTGGGCAAGCTCCTCACATCACAAGCAGACCGCCGCCACCGTAAAAGACTTCGAAATCTAATGTGTCCCAAGTTCTCATGGGCAGAGGAAGTTAGAGTTGCATCACGCAAGTGTCTGTTCAAACGAAGCCCAGAGAGGTCGTTTACGCCCTCTTGGACGCAGGCGTCTGTCTGTTCAAACAAAGCCCAGAGGTCGTTTACGCCCTCTGGGACGCAGGCGTCTGTTCAAACTAAGGCAGAGGGCGTTGGAGCCAAGTTCACGGCCCTCTAGCAAGATTCAAATGGTAAGATTTGTCAGAACGCAGCTCACGGTGCAGATACCTAAACCCTAAACCCTAAACCCTAAACCCTAAACCCTAAACCCTAAACCCTAAACCCTAGGCCCTCAACCGTCTTATGGCTTCCACACAGCCGGCGTGGGTCCGTGGGTGCGTCTGACGCCTCCTCGGTCACTCTTGTGGCCCGGTTCTTCAGGCCTTCAGGGGTTGCTGACTTGCTTTAGGGTTTAGAATTTGGGGCTTAGGGTTTAGGGTTTGGGCTTTGCTGGCTCAAACCAGAATCCCTACTCAGGCCTTGAGCCTCATAAACATCCACGCAAGGCCCACTCTCCCAAACCAGCTTAGGGTTTAGGGTTTAGGGTTTAGGGTTTAGGGTTTAGGATTTAGGGTTTAGGGTTTAGGGTCTTTAGGGTCTTTAGGGTCTTTAGGGCCCCACAAGCCCCTGAGCTGAAGACCCCAGAGCCACCTCTCCAAACCCCGGAGCTGCCAATGCATGAGTGTGTGGCCCCTACAACCCTAAACCCTCAACCCTCAACCCTCAACCCTCAACCCTAAACCCTAAACCCTAAACCCTAAACCCTAAACCCTAAGCCCTCCCTAAACGCCGAAAGCCCATCAGTTTCTCAACCTCGCTCAAGAAACCTCAAGCCCTTTATTGTTTTTTGCCTAAATCCCCAAACCTGCTGTCCGCAAACACCATAAACCCTAAACCCTAAACCCTAAACCCTCGACTCTCTCATGCCATGGAGGAGTTGCCTTGGGCTCACCCATGGCAAGCTCAACGCTGTGGAGCCTCGGCGGCGCGCAGGGCTTTGGGCTTGGGCGGAATGGTTTAGGGTTGAGGGAGTTTAGGGTTTAGGGTTTAGGGTTTAGGGTTGAGGGAGTTTAGGGTTTAGGGTTTAGGGCTTAGGGCTTAGGGTTTAGGGTTTAGGCTTTAGGGGGTGTGGGTCCGATCTGGCTATAGGGCCGGCCTGGGGCGTGTAGATGTTCAGAGGCTCAGCGGGTTTGAAGGGTTTTGCGGCCTTTGTGTTCCCGGGC